ATATATTTTCATAACCTTAGTTTTAATAGTGATCAGGATGAAGACAGGAACAATTTGATGGCTCCATCCTGACAGGTGCTAAGAGTATAATATGCTCTGGGAACATTCAGCAGTTAGCAATACTGGGACAAAAGTTTGCAAGTTGAGCCAGTTTGAAGTGGAGAATGGAGAAAGGGAATTAATATGGAATTTTCCAGGTGGGATTTTTACAGTGTCTCTTTTTAGCTATAAACCTCTTGAAAAGGAGGGAGGTCTTTAGAAAATCCAGCAGAAATTATCAGCAAACCCCAGGACTTCTCTATCTCCCTTTCCCTCCCCCTTCAATTGGAATTGCTCTCAAACAAATGAAACATGTGTAATTAATGGAGCAGGGGGTTGGACAAGTCCCACATGAAAGCATTTCCTGGACTTCTCCTTCATTTGCATGGCATCAGAAGCTGTTCAGAAGGTGTGACTTTTCCCACGGGGAGCCGTTGGCTCTATGGCACAATAAAGGCAGCACTTTGTAACTAGAATTAATTAAAGGACTAGGGAGGGCCAGTGGAGCAAGAGGAGGACACAAGGACTAAAGGGAAGATGTTTGAAAGCTGAGTCCTAAGCAATAAATAAATGTTCTTGGCCTGTTCTTGTAGAGTCAGGGCACCCTGGAGATTTAACTCAGGAGCTTCCATCATGATCCATTTTGTTCTGTAATGACTCCATTTTATAAAGAATAGGACATTAGGAAGAAGCTGAGGATGAGATGTTCAATGTGCCTACAAAAAGTTCTGCCTGAGAAGCTTGCATGTCATTGAACAGCAAGAGAAATTAATGGAATTACAGTATACATCTTCGCTTGCTTTGTGCTGTATGGCAGTACAGTAATCAGGGAAGGCAAGATGCCAAGAAAGGAACTGCATAAGACCTTTTCTCCTCAAAAGGAAATGAACCCTCAAAACAGCAGGAATTCCTCACAGAAAAATTGGGCTATAAGGATTCAAAGAAACCTGGAATATTATCAATGTCTGTATATGATATCAGCTGTATGAGAATCTTACAGCTTCAGCATAACATTCTGGTGGTTCTCCCCTTTCTTCCAAGTGCTGCACAACTTGTTTGATCTTGATACTTGAATATAATTCATACAGTATATTAGGGTTAGTATCATTCAAATAATTATCCATCTTGAAGGGAATTTTAAAAAAGCAGGGGGAGAGAAAAAGGGATATCAGAAAAGGAATCTTAGTAATGGCCACAGTTTATCAGCTTCTGTTAATAGTAATTATGTCAGTTTTGCTGTAATATAATGATAGTGTTCTTCCTTACACAAAGCAAAGAGATAAAATTCCTAAAAGATTTCAACTGGTCATTCATTATTTCATTTGATTTTCATTTGATTTACACTGTATCCCACCTTTCTACTGCTTTGTATAGTTGCAGGCTGGGAATTATAGGGGTTGAATCCCACATGTCTGTGTTGAATACACCAACATGGAGAAGAGTGAGCCAAACAGTCTTTGGGATATTTATAGGTTCACACTCAGATCTTAGCCTCTTTTTTCCCAAGAATTATCTACAAGGCAATGTACTGGGATTCTCTCACAGAATGTTCTTCAAAACAGCAGTACCTCTCTCTTTCTCACATGTATACATGTTGCCAGTAAACATCCTTTCACTGCCCTTCATAAATGGTGTTGGGGGGAGTACAGTGCTATACCTCATTTATCAGGGTCATATGCTAAGAATCATCAGAAAAAATCCATGGGTTCAAATGGAGAGTTATGTTAATGGAAGCACTAGTATTACTGGGTAGTGTACAATCACTTCTTTTAATGCAGCTGCAAGTAATAGCTATAGGTGTAGAGATTGTCATTGACTTCAGTGGATACAGCAAGGTTTTAAAGGAAGACCATCCTTTGAAAGGTAACTGGAACAGGAAGTGTTGTATTAAAAGGCCCTCAAGTGCTTTTCTGCAAACTGCGTATGTTAAACCTACTATATGTTCTCACTTAATTCAACTCAGCCTCAAAATTTGCCTGGTGCTTAATATTTCTAGACCCGCAGCCTATGTTTCAATGAAGTAGGATGCTTGACTTCCAGCCACTCACAGATCAATGCCTTGAGACTCAACTTTTCCTATTGGGATCTTGAAGCCTACTGGGACTTATCACACACTAACTTTTCTCAACCTTCATCCCACCCCATATCTGATATCCCTTTTTACTATATACAAAAACTTATGCTGCTAATAGAGCTATCAGATATGTTTTTCTAGTTTCATTTCAAAGCTGTCTGTCCTTCTGACAGCAAAGTCTGTAAGTTAATTATGCATGGTGGCTATATCTAACAGCGTAGATCAGAATAATAAGTAGCTTCTTTAACAGAGTAATCCAAGGCATATTTATAGAAATAATAATAACCCATTGAATTAAATAGAATTTACGTCCATGTAAGTACATGCAGGATTGCAGTTTTAAATTCGTGTAGTGCAAGCTATTAAATAATATCATTTTAAACATATTTATGGAATTAGCAGATTGACCATTCCCAATAATTGAAAGAAAAGGATTTCAAAATTAAATTGCTGAAGTTAATTTAAATCATTAGCCAACAGAACCCACTCTCAATTACTGAAAGTCGGCATTTGAAATTTTCCTGCAATTATACTTGCTACTCTTCTAAAATTCTTAAGGGTCTGGGCAGAACAGCAAACATTAAAATTAGCTCCCCAGCTGAATGGAATTGTCACAATGTCCGCAAGAAATGCAACCAAACTGGTGTGATGCCTCATCCCTGGAGACCCAAAGTCAGGAAGCAATCCTGAAAGATTCGCAGCCCAGAATTTTCTTTCCTCAACAAAGTTGTTTGCAGATTGGCTGTCCTCAGTCTCATCTTCTACTCCTAGAAGATTCTTGCCCCTGCAGTAAATCATACAGCCAGAGAGTCAAGCTCATTTGTACTAGTAGAAATTTTAATGTACACTTAAATAAATATTTCCAACAATTTCATATTTCAATTTGTATACAGTAACCTTTTTTCAAGCCCTCAAGGAGCAAAAAGAGAAAGATGTGCTGTTACAGCAAGGTTGTTCACAGCTTTCATGCTCTTTTTTAATATACTTTTTTTTTCCTATTGGTGTTATTTAAATACACTTTTCAAATCAAGTATGTGGCACAGAGTCTCATCCTTCAGAGTTAGCGAAGCCTTCTGAAGTCCTCTCTGGACACAATATGTCATCCTAGACCACTGCAGATTTGAGTACAGTATCAAGATCTGTTTTGCCCAGATAAAGAACTAAACCAGGGCACAGACAGGAAGCAGGCAACATCAGAATTCCACATAGTAATCAATTTGAAGTTCAGTCAAGATAAAATGGCAAAATAATGTTCCTTGGTAGATTATGAATGAAAAATTCATGAGCATGGTGGAAAAGTCTAATTTTGCTGCAATGCTTGCTTGGTCAGGAAAAGTTTATCTTTGTGAGAAATTAAACCCTTTGAACTTGCAATATCTCTCATGTATGATTCCACCACCACCACCACCACCCAGTTTTAACCAAATTAGTGTATAAGGGAAATATTTAAAAATGTCTAAACTTACATTACTGCCTTAAAATCCATCATTTAAAAACAGAACAGAACATAATCACAACCCTAATAGATTATTAGTATTGCTATGTTTGTTCAGTGACAACTAGCAAAGATGATCAAAACAGCAAAATGTCACTTCTAGATAGTTCTCCAGTTGACATGAATATGTCACTTGAACCCCATTTGAAGCACACACATACAAGCACCTACATATACTGTACGTGCGTGTTTGTGTTTCTAATTGGGCATAAACATTTTGACTATACTAATTGGCAGCTACAGGGAATCAGAACAACTGATTTGTGTTAACAATATGGTAAGGAAGAATAATCACTAATCAGTCCAGTTGCTAATTTTCCTCAAAGTATTTTTGAGGAAGTTGGCCTACGAATAAAATTGCAAAATTGCAAGACTAAGGAAAAACCTTCAAGGACTGAATTTGGGCCAGGGGTTCCAAGTTGCCAACCTTCTGGAAAGGAGTCTTGTTTTGCCCTTTTGATTGCCTAGGGACCGAAAGCACCCTTGGATCCCTCGTATATGAGAGAATTTTATTCAGTCTTATGGAATATCCTTAGAAATGGAAATGTAATGGGAAAAATATCATTTTTAACTCAATGGCACTTTATTGACAGGACAACAAATACAACAAATCTACAGGTTTTTGTTTTTTTTAATTCAGACCTTTGGAAAAATTATCACCATTGAAAGAACAAAGCAAATCAACACCCTTAGCATCTCCTCTGGCAAGGGCAGTCACTATGTTTTCATCATCTCCTCCCTCTTAGCAAAAATGAAAACAATGACTATGTCCCATCTGGGTAGGACCTAAAGGTCTTATTTGAACAAATTTGGCTCCAAGGAAGACCACCGTCTGCAGATATCAGAGACATCTCACACACATGCAAAAGACATACCCTCCCCCCCAAAAAAACCCACCATGTGTACAAGAACTGGGGATGGACTACATCCTCTTAAGTTACTTATTTTATCTGAGGTAGAAATTTGGACCCAAGTGTATATATTTATTGAAGAGGGCATATTCTATGCTTATGCCTAGATCAACTACCTCCTACCAATCCCTACCCCACATTAAAAACCAGTCTAACAAAACATAATGCATGCCCCCTCCCAAAGAACTCAAAATCTTCCTACGTGAAGAGCAACCCTCCATGAGTATTGGAACATTATACTGCTTTTTCTTAAAAAAGCAATAAAGTTGAAATACAAAAATAGAGCCTCTTTTTTGTTTTTTTTAAAAAAACACAAAACAATTATAAACAACTAAATCAAGTTTTGTTCCCCCTCTTCTTCCATTCCCCCTTTGTAGTCATCATCATAGGTAAGTCTCTAGTTATTGTCCATTCACTGAGTCTCTGCACAATGTCCTCCAGCAAAGGGAAAGTGGTCCTGAGTGGCACAAGGTGAGGTGGGTCAGGGCAATGGCTTTGGGCTGGAGTTTCGAGTCCTTTTACTCCTCCGGTTGAATGGATAATTAAGAAATTCGAAGCGTCTGTGAGGCTCTGTTGTTTGGTGGCCTTTGGGCAGCCTCTTCATGAAGTGCACCTCACGCTGATGCTGACGGGTCTTGGAGCCTTTGCGGGGACGTCCCTTCCGGGTGAAGGCCATATACCATCCTTCATACTTCGCATTTTGTAATGCTGTGTAGTTGTTCTCCAGCACAATCTCAGTGAAAACACAATCCTTGCCTTTGCCATTGCTCTGCAAGTGAAAAGGAGTGAATAATTTGACACTTTTCATTTTACCCATCTCTGCTGGCCCTAAAGGTTGCTTGGGCGGCATCAGCCCCACACCTAGGATAAGCCTCTTCCAATATATCATTTTAGGTGTCTCCTGCTTCCATTTGTACCAGAACATCAAACTATCAGTGCTTCATTGTGCCAAGCAGCTTGACTGAAGCAAAGACCAGAATGATCATGATACGGCATAATTTCATGACTGAAGAAAAATCTTTTCTTGGTAAGTTCTATGATCAGTTACAATTCACAGAGTCTATGGTAAATAGTGATGGCAGATATAGTAACTAACAGTTTTTGGGAATTATACAGAGATTACTCATAAGCTATGTCTTATGATTGCTTGTTCCTTATCACATTTTGACTATCCTCTTATCCATACAAACTAAGACAAGTTTTTTTTCACTATTCCCCAAAGCTCCAATTTAAATAGAAAAAGACAACCTTTTACTTACTGTTGCTCACCAAAATCACCTTGTACAATCAGAACAGCAACAATTCTATGCGTAGTGATAATATCTGCCTATACTTTGACCATCTTCTGTGCAGCTAGATGCCTTAAGAACTGGATGCCACTGAACCTGCAACACTTTATATGATCTGTACTCCCTAACGTTTTCAAACTTTTTCTCCTACTTTTGTACAATTAGGATTGGAATTCAGAGTCTATGTGAACAATTAAGCTATTAATTTTAATGCTGGGTGTATTCAGTAGCACAAATAAGTTTCATTTGGCTATCTGTTCAACACACATATTTCCAGAAATGTATAACTCCTAAGTAAGGGAAACTGAAAGAGGCATTTGATATGACCTTGTCTTTTGCTCCTTTTCCCAGTTCTTTCACTCTCTCTTACATATACATACATGCATAAATTATAGTTCGCATAAACCTATTTCCTTTCATTATGTTTTATTTAATAAAGCTGTGTCTAGATACAGTGGATCTTTCCCTGCCTTAATACTTAGACCTAAAGTGATAGAGAAGACAGAACCTCACAGAAGGTGCCAAGTGTCCTTAGCACTTATTATAAAACATGGCAGACTTGGGGTGTTGCTAATTAGTGTCACTTCATTTGAATGCAGCCTAACTCATTACAGATTTATAGGAGTGTTTGGAAGCCGAACCCTAACACTTTACACCAACTGGCAAATCCAGGGGGGGCCCAAAAGGAATCACTTTGATTGTGAATTCCTAGTCCTCCACATATACTAAACCTTCTGCCAAGAAAGAAAGCATAGGCAGCTAGAATGTGTATGATTAATATATAGTTTAGATAAAATGTTCCCCTTAAAAGTCAAAGAACTGCCACTAGAAGAATGCAGATTCATTCAGAAGATAGAATATACCACAGCATACTCATAATAGACCGAGTGGTGATGCTATTCCTGATTGATAGAGGTATTTAGGCTTCTAGGTGGACATCTCAGTGGAAGCCCCATCAATTCTGCACTCCTCTGTTGCTGATCCATTCTAACTTATTTAAGTCTGACCCCATAATTTGAGCAGGGAGAAAGCTGGAAACTTTGCTTTAAAAACCAACACATCTAGAAACCTAGAAACATGGATGGATGGATGGATGGATGGATGGATGGATGGATGGATGGATGGATGGGTCCTATATTCTAGTGTAAGAATGTTTCAATAGGAACATGGAAAGCAACTTTATACCAGATCAGATCTTGATCCATCTAGCTGTATACTATCTTTGCTGGCTAGTAACATTAGCCAGTCTCAGGCTAAAGTCTTACCTTGGTTGATTAGAGATTAAACCTGGAATCTTCTGTGTGCAAATGCAAGGCACCACTATTGAGCTACATCTCCTCCCTACATCTTGGAAACATTGTGGAACTTTCAACAAAGAGCAGCAGTGGAGTCTATGGGGAATGTCCTTTGCAGTGGAGATGGGAAGAAAGGAATATACGTGGCAAGATATACACAACAACCTTCACTTTTACAGTGTTGAGCTGCCCCTTTTTTCATCAGCTAATATAATACAACTTTTGCATCTCATTAGCAAATACTTTTCCTGATTTCCCTCAACTATGTCATGTCACTCAAGCCTAGCTTTCAACCCACCTCTAGGTTCTGTTCCAAGAGCCTCAGATATCTTCATCACAGAGTTCTTTATAAAAATTGAGGAAATACATAGGACCAAAAATTGCTCTGAGACAGAGCACAAAAGAGAAAGGAAAACTTGCAACCTTATTTCATGCTCAATGTACAGACATCATAAACATCTCTACAGGTTGTCCTCACTTAACAACGCTAATTGGGACCAGATACTCCATCATTAAGCGACATGGTCATACATTGAAAAACCACATGATTGTGCCACTTAGCGATGGCAGTTCTGGCAATCCTGGTTGCCATCATTAAGCAAGGATTTCATGTGACCACAACTTACGACTTCCTGTTAGCTTCCCCACTGACTTTGCTTGTTGGAAGCCAGCAGGGAAAGTTGCAAATCGCGATCATGTGACCGCAGGGACACTGTGACAGCTGAAACTTTGAGAACTGGTCATAACTACCACTTATTCAGCCCCCTTGTAAGTTCGAACAGTCGCTGAAGGAGTAGTTAAATGAAAGCCACCTGTAGTTCTTAATAAATGATATTGTTACTGTAGTCAATTCCAAATCTCCCTTCCATACACAGACATTTTTTTTTTTAAGTTACAGTGACTTCTGAGTCAAAATAAACTCCTTACAGACACATCTATATAGGGTTTTTTGACACAATATGTAAATAGTTTGTCATTGCCCATTCTAGGATGTTTTCTCAACTTTCCAGTCTATCGTAAAACCCTGGTATGTCATGGCAGTCTCTCATCCAACTATTAACCAGGTCTGACCCTGGTTAGCTTTTTGAGATTACATTTCCATTTTAAAAAATTAACAAGCTACAACAGTAATTTTCTACTCTGTAGGTTTCCTATGCCACTCCCTGCCTGTGAATGAGACATACTCATATGGGATTACCTTGCAGCATTGCCATACACCACAATTAGTGCTGAAAATAGTGTTTAATTCCTTTTAGAGTAAGAATTTACCAGAATTTCCATTTTTTCCAGTAAGCAGAATAGAAAGAACTTGTTTAAAAAAAATTCAGAGAAAATGAAAGAAACTGCTTCATTCTTTCTTAATGCAAGAAAGAATGGAAATTGGGAGTTTTCATTTTTTATTCAACTGCTCAAAAGGTGAGAAAGTGCAACAGGAGTTCTCTGATCAACAAGTCCCCAGGGTGGGGAGAAATGCAGGGGGAACAGGCAGATCCCCAATGCCAAAGAAAGAAGTTTAAATCCTTTCTTTATGTAATCTAGCAGACTGAATTCTCCCACCCACAACACATCTGAATTAGGAAAGCAGAACAGGAGAAAATATTAAATCTTCCTAGGATATCTCTCCAGGACTGGAGCTGCCTTCTTCAGAGTGGCTGTACATGCAGTTGGTTTCAGCTGTGGAAAACCTTCTCATAGTTTTCATGGGAAGGAAGAAAAATCTTGGTTATTTAATTTATTGCTACTTTATTTTTACACTAGGAGAGATGACTCTGGGATTTTCTGCCTCAGGTACCAACTAACTCAGCCAGGCTTCATCTCCCCGGATGTTCTCTGGGGAAAGACTGCATTTACCCTTCTACTTCAGGCAGTAAGGTAGCTTGGTCTAGCTCTGGGGCCCAGGCCTTCCTCAGTGCTTTCTGGTGGCTGCTTGGTCATGCCCAGTGTTGTCTTTAATCCCTAAGGATCAGGATGCCGATGTTGTGTCTAGCTCCTCAGGGTTTAATTGGAAGGAACTGGCCCTACCATCAAGCAGACTGAACTAGCTGCCTCAGGCAGCCTATGCTGTGAATCTTGAAGAAAAGATCTGGGTGTGCCACTCAGCCTGTCCCCTAACTAGCCTGCTGTCTACATCTTTTGTAGATTCTCTTCTTAAAAGTATACATTTTAAAGTTTTGATTGTTTTGAACTATTTAATTTATTGTTTTAATAACATTTTAAGTTCTGTCTTAAAAAGTACTTTTGCTTTAATTATATTTCCATAAAGCATTAATTGAGTAGACAGCATGCAAATACTTCAAATAAATATATAAAAAGGGGAAAATTTAAAAACTCACATGCTTCATAATACTGTGATTTAAGATAGCTTGAAATATAATAGCTTCCAGAGTGGATAAAGGGGCTGTAAGGCTAACGTATTACTACACTCTGCAAATCACTATTTTTATAAAGGCCAGCATGATTTTCTTTTCTTAGCAAAAGATAAGCCACAGTTTTCAAGGTCTTCTTGCAAAAGGCCCTTAAGTTTTATAATCTCATGGCCAATTTATATAAAAATCAGCAGAAACACACCCCTTCAATGTTTTCACTTAAAATTCATCAGGGTACTTGTATGTACCCTAATAAAAAAAATCTCCCTCCTTCTTGTTATGGGAAGGAAAAAAGTAGAGCCCTAAATATGTGGTCTCAAAAATATGTTCCACAAAGTCCAGTGATATTTCACTTGGGTTCCTACAGGGCTCAAAGCCACAAGCCTTTCTAGAATATGAATACCCATACTCTCCAGCAAGCCTGTGCAGACTTAAGGTTAAAATAGTTGATCTTTTAAAATGAATGATCTGTGGTTTTAAAAAAAAAATCTAAAGTATCATGCTTGTGATAGATCTTATTGTGCAATAAGATTCAAATATCTATACACCAATAATAGAGGGAAGGAAGATGTGCAAGAGTGGACCGAAGTAGAAGTAGACTTTCTGTGACGGTGACATGAAGAGTAATAACTAACTAGACATCAAGTCAAAGGAGTTGGATGTTTGTCATGTCTATCCTATGTTTTCCTTTGGTTTGATAAATAAGGACTTTTTTTAAAAAACCTGAATTTAGAGGTAAAATGTTTATTTGAATCCTCCCATCCACTCATATTTTACACTGCATCTGAGGCTGATGTAACTTTTTCTTGATTGTTTTTGACCAGTGAAATCAATGACACAGTAAAGAGAAGCATGGGGGAGAACAAAATACTAAACAATTATTGGGATTATATTTTCCTTGCTAGCAAATAAGTGTTTTGTGATTGGTCACATCTGCCATGGCAACATTTTGTAAATAGTAAAGTTTCTATCCCCATATAACTATTTAGTTAGGAAATCCACTACATGTTTTCATCATTCCAAATATTCCCCTGGATTCAAAAAAGTCACCTATTACTAATTTAAATCCATTTTCTCTCTTCTCCGCCTTCTAAAAGTGGGTTTAAACTAAGTGCTTTAACTGTGTCTAGAAGCACTAGATTCTTGAGGTTAAGGAGACGCATGTTGCATGAACGTTTCCCAAACAAATGAAAGTATGCAAATGAGCAAACTTATAGCTTCAGTTACATGCCCTCCTGCTCTCACAAGGCTATTGTCCACTGCTGCATCAAAAGCCACTTTACCCACATTCTTAAAACCTTCCAGAAACTTTGCTTGTCTGTCTTCTTACCTTGCCAATCAGTTTTCCTTTCTTGTTCATGCAAATATAGAAGCCTGTCTCCGCTCCCTTGATTCTTACTCTGCTCCCAAAAGTATCAGTCTCCACAATGAGTTTAGCTGGAAAGAATAAGGCAACAAAGAAGTCAACAGAAGAAGTTACGTTACAAGATCAACATCACATAGAAGTCCCAGAGGGAAAAAAAATTGTCAAGCAGAATGACTCTTTTCTGTTGTAGCAAGGCATGCAGAACAATGAAAAGTAGTGACAGGGCATGTTATTGGGTATTCTGTACAATGACAATAGAGCCAAGAAGAATCCAGGGCTGTGCTGTTCTTGTCATGAGGAACAGAACTCTGGACTATGGATGCAAAGTCCCCTAAATTTATTTTTTAATGCACAGAGCAACTTGCATGCTAAAACTCCATCCCCACCAAATCACATTTAAGAGTCTCCGCTGGAAGCAAAGGCAAAAAGGAATATATTTTACAAGTAACCAAGAACCGTATTGTATATTACTTTTTCCCCGCTGATATGGGTGTTAATTGGAGTCAATAGAAGAATGGCATGAATAGCACCAATATGGTTTTTTTTTCCAACTTGGCACTGAACAATTGGGGAAGTTTTTATCCATGAAGAGCTTATGTGATAATAACTTGGTTAATTTTTAAGGTGTCACAAGTTTATTCTTTGCATTGGTCCTTGTTCTATTTATCCAGCAACAGAAAAAAAATTCATTTTAATATTATAACAGCAGTCTTTAATCCAAGAGTTAGAATAAAGAAAGCCCAAAATGTGACTATTCTAAATCTCCTATATCTGGATGCTCTTTCTTCTTAAACTAAGAACTCTTAGTATTTAACTAACCAGGGGAGGCAGCAGGTGGGGAGGAGGAATCTGTGTATATGATGGACAGCCTTTCATCACTGCTGAATTGAAATACTATCTACCCATCTTTGAATTGGCAGAAAACTAGACCAGCATGAAATTGGCTGTCCCCATAGCTGATCCCTATCCTGCATCGACTCTCTGTTTCAGGTCACTGCAGTCATCTGACTATCTTCCAAGGTAATAGTAACACAACCTTATAGATTTTATACACCCTGATACTGACCTTGGACAGCGTTGAAATAAAGAGAAAATACTACATTAATACTGGTACATCTAAGAAGACCTTACACCTTTCTGTCTCATAGTCTGGAGACGAGATGAAGGCAATGTCATGGGAACACAAAAAAGAAAAAGAAAATATTGGCAGCACATGCTTATGCCATGATCAGGGGCAAATGGTGAAAGCCCTATGGCACACAACATGGGGAGACAAGAAAATCAGAAGTTAATACAAAATCTAGGTCAGCAATAAATACAAAAATAATGGTATCTTCTACAGATAGCACTATGGTCTGTGCAACAATGAGGGAATTTGGAATTTCTTGCTTATTATCTTGTCTTCATTACATCTCTATTCTGTGTAGGCCATGAAGAACCAGAAGACAGTTTAAGACCCTTCTCTGCCTTCTTCTCTCCTTGCATGGATGCTGATTTTGCAAAGAGTAAAGCTAACCCTTTAATGCATTTCATCTTTGTGAGAGTTGAGAGGGCATATTGATTTAGTCTCAGTTTTTAAATGGGCATTGATTGACTTATGGAGCTGCTATGAAAATTACAGATCAATAGCTTGTCCCCTTCTTCTTGCTTTTGCATGAACCCCAAAGATCTGGAGCAAGCTGTCCTCCAAGAACTATCTCACCAATCCAACTCTGTGCTAACATTGTGCCTGAAAGAATTAAAGGATTCCATGTGAAACTTCTGTTTAGGGTGCCCAAAATTCCTATGAAGAACTGGACATTGCCATTTCTGACCTTAAAATGATGATATATCCCTAAACTGGACCCCAGACTTCTTTTTTTTTCTGATAATACTTGAGCCATTGCAAATAAGACCCTTTGCTGAAGAAGGGCAAATTCAGAGACTTTAAAACCTACAGTATTTGCACCAGTGACTGGAGTTCATTGTATCTTGTATATAGGTAAAACAGCTCTTCTTCTGTGATCCATATTTGATCCTTTCTCTTGCTCTCCCCCACCCCATTCTATCAAGGGCCTGTTTTTAGTATGAATATAAAAAGTTCTACTTTGCAGCTCAAGTCCTTCCCTATATTCATAGTTCCTACAAAATTTGTATTCCTAGCCATTGTGATTCAAAATCCTTTTGAAATAATTTTTAATAGAAGCAGGCAAGTAAGGTTTGGGATGAGTCCACAGGAGGTGCTGTTTCACATTTTTGTGACAAACCAGTTTTGCTTAAGCCAGAGTACGTCATGTTCATATTTAAAGCAGAAGTGGAGATACATGAGGAACCAAAAGGATGTACCCCAGAGCTACAATCATATAATCAGGAACAAAGGTACTGAACAAGAGTTTCAGTATTTAGTCTCTGTAAGTCTATATCTTGAATGTCTATTAACAGCTAAGACTATCTTAAGCAAGTATTTGAACTTGTTATAATAGTTTATAGTACTCTGACCCTAGCTCTAAAATCCAGAATTTGAAACCAACTGTGTCTAATGTGTTCAGTTCCCAGATGTCATAGAATGACTCACACAAGTATTATACCTTCTTGCTGTATGCAGATTGTGGCATCTGGACCTTGCCATATTCATAAATAAGAATCTAAAGTGGATATGCAGCCTAGTGTCCTCAAGATATTTCCTACTGTCCCTTGCCAATAGCCTTGATAGCTAGAGCTGAAGAAAATTGCAATCCAAATATCTGGAGAGCATGAAGTTACCTATCCCCTCTCTAAAAGGACCTTGAATGTTGCTGCAGTGAAACAGCTTTTGTGCATCACCTTTGATCCTGAATTTCTGCCCATCAATGCAAATCCTACTTCACTGAGGCTCTGCTAATCACACTAGGGCAAATATAAACACAAACAGGCTCAGCCAACCAGATGATCAGTTTTATGGCACTTCAGCCTTTGCAGAATAGCTCTGCAAGGCCCTTTCAAAAGCAGTACAATATTCACCTAGTAATGAATTTTAGGGAAAGAGAGGAATAGCATTGCAATGGAGATAAGCCAAGTGCTTTCCAAAGTATCCACTGCCCCCCCCTTTTTTTATTTTATTTTTTAGGCTGGATGTCAAGGCACTACTGTGAAAGAAGGGAAGCATTCAGAGTAGCAAAAGGCTGGTGGACTTGCAGAAACAGCTGGAACCGAATAGGCTCAGTGTAAAGTTTGGAGAGGCTTACTATTTTACCCCAAATGCTACATTCAGCTAATGTCTTCAATATAAAAGGATATTTCCATCAGTGGCACAAGAACAGAAATATACACTAGGGACAAACACAAGAGCATGAATAGGAGAAACTGCACAAATTATTTAACCCTGATTTATTAATTCTCCTCTGCTAATGATCTTTCCCTCACTTCCCTCACTTTAATCCATAATTTCTTTAATCAGTTTCCAATACCAGACATAATTCTGTATAAGGAGAAGAATAGGGCTATGATAGGGTTATCAGAGCTGGACTGCAAAAATCTAGGTGAACATTGGATGGTAAAAAAAAAAAAAAAAGTTAAGAATTCTCTGTCTCTCAGCTGCCATGTTAACATCATCTGCATTTTTGCAGTCCAGCTTTGGTAGCCATTGGGAAGAACCTGTGGGTCCTGGAGGATTAATCTCTGCCTTCTCCAATACTCTCGCATTTGGTTGCATTTGTTAACATGGGTTGAAACACCCACAGCCATACTGTCTCACTCACCATCGTGATGCCTGGGGGACAGTGGGGGAGATTGTACTTTTTTAACCAACTATTATAATATATAGCCACATTCTCCAATCACAGTTGCTCTGCTAACAGAAGAGAAATATCTCAGCCTTCCCCCAACTAGATGTGTTGGGACTACAGCTCCCAGAATTCACAACCAGTATTGGTAACTTCTAGGAATCTTAAGTGTTTGAGGAATGCTAGATTGGGAAGGATACCTTCTTTTCCTAGCAACAATAAATTACCACATCAATTTGATTATCACATCAATTATCCTATCAACTCTAAGATGATGTGATATGCTTGCCTCAAACAGAGGAAAGATCCCAGTGCAACAAGCAAGAGTGTACATTTGATAAATAACTAAGGAGAGGCTTTTTTAAAAACCTGTTTCAGGCTTGGCCTAGCCATGTACCTTCTCCACAAGCAACAAACATTTCTACAGGTACTGTAGTTTATTGCAAGCATAGAACCTTCAGTCTCTTTTTAAAAATAATTTCTGCCCTGCTTCTTGTACCTACAGCATGTGATGAGCTAAGTGTGAACCATTTCCTTTTCTCTTTTCTCAGGTAGGAGAAAGAGGGAGAAATTACATAGAATTATCAACATTTTAGTGCCCAGGCTACAATATCAATACTGAAACAATCTCTACAACTTCTGTACTTAGGAACACTCAAAATCTTTATCAAGTCTTGGGTTTTATTCACCTTATTCAGCTTGCAATGCAAGAACTTGTTTATTTGTTATATACTCCATCAATTGCTCCAAAGTCAGCATATAAGGCCTGCAATGTGACTTGTCCAGAACCTGGCCCTCTACTAGGCTAAAGAAATAAATTAATGGAAGCCAAGATACTGCCATCATTAAGCCAAGGCTCTTACACCTGCTACAATAAGTTCAGGAATGTCCTGAACCAATGGAAGCTAGTTATTACTAGAAGCTGGTTATAACACTTGGCAGGATGTTATTTCACAGGTTCCTGCAGTTCATCCCAAACCTATCCCTTCCATTTTTATGCCACAGAGTTGGACAACATATGACTTACATGTAGCCCCTTTTTATTTAATCTCTTGGACTCCTCCCTCCCCCCTGCCCCAGTTCCAATGCCAATATTATTAGTTTTCTAACAGGCAGAAAACAACATGTGAGGTTAGGCAAAATTATTTCCAGTACTCGGTTAATCAGTACTGGTGCCCCTCA